GCACTATTAAAACCTCTTTCCTTAGTATGAAACCCTTATTTTAATTTTCCGTGAAAAATAAACAATAATATTTTGATTATTTTAGATGCGTTTCCCACTGTAAAAGAATTCCAGGTAAAAAAGAGATTTTGAAAATACGAAGAAAAAATTAGGAAATTTTAGACGAAAATACTTGTGCATGTTAAAATAGAGATAATGACATAATTGGTCCTGAACTTTGCCTCAATATGCAATGTCATGCCTGAACTTTTAATTTGTTCAATATAGCTTCTCAATTTTTGGTTTATATTCAATGTAGTCCCTAAACTATATGAAAATATTTAATGTTGTCCCTGAAATTGAATTAACGGAATGACAATATTAAACATTTTCATATAATCTAAGAACTAAATTGAACATGTACCAAAAATTTAGAGACTACAATGAACAAATCTAAAATTCGAGGACAACATTGCATATTTGAGCTAAAGTTTAGGGACCACATTGAATAAATTAAAATTTTAAGGATCACATTGTATATGGATCCAAAATTCAGGGACCATTTATATTATTTTCTCTATTAAAATATTTTGAGCTCTTAGTGAAAAGAGACATGACAAATGTAGTATTAAAATCAAAATCGAAAAAGACAAAACTCAAATCTACAGCGGAGCTGGCAACCTTATCTTTTAAATCTTTATGTCTATTTTCCTTTGCTATAACTTTTATTTGAAATAAATATATTTCACAGGCTAAATCCAAAAAAAAAAAAAACGACTTTATATTCTCTTGACAAAAGTAACCATAATTTTCATTTACCCAAAAAGCCTGAACTTATTCCCTTGCCATAAAATTAATACACTTTTAAAATTGACCAAGTAAACATGAACTTTTGCTTGAGGTACATATAAGGGTAAAGCACTGCTTTGATACGAGTCGTGCTAGCGGTACCAATTTAAACAAACTCTGAATATTAGAAATGACCTCCATAGGGATCAAGGTCGGTTAATGAGACGATGGCGTATAAGCTTCATTGTCAAGAGAGAAATGACATGAATCACTAGTTAAGGCCCCTAAATGATCTCTCACTGACGAAGGAGGTAGAGGTGCTGAGACAACCAGGAGGTTTGTCTAGTACCAGTCACCCTTCAAAGAGTGTGTCATAACTCACTTTTAAAGTGCTCTTGCACTGAAGATGATCGAGGCTAATTGATCTGTTGAACTTGTAGGATGTAAAAGTGCATCGGTAAGATAGCTTTTTGCCTTAAGGGAAGCACCCATGACAGTGGTAGTGGACGAAACGAAAGCGAAAATGTTGACTTTTGTAACACAATTATCGATGAAAATTCAATGCACGCCCTCGCCGGTCACTGGGCAAGGGCTCCGAAGCTTCACCGCCGCTGGCGACCCTCGCCGGCTATTGCCGACAGCCCAGCGACCTCTGTTGGCCCTTCTAGGAAGATGAATAGTAGAAAGAAAGAAAATAAAAAGCACAAAATTCAGAAAATTTGAAAAAATAGTCCACGCCAGTGTCGACCATCCATGTAAGACGGTTGGCAGCTGCATAAGCGATATTCGGTCAAAATTGGTAAGGGCTACATTGGAAATTTATTAAAAAAATCAAGACTTAATTGGTCACCGTATGATAGATTTATAATAGTTTCGACAATAATTTTGTTGACACCTAAATTTTAACTAGTCATTTAGGAACAATTGCATTGAAAATTAGGGATTGATTTTTCAACCCCTAAACAAAAAAATATAATTAGATGGCATTGCATATAGATATTAGGAGCATTCCATTAATAGTCAATTAGGCCCATATAGTTTGCATATTTATCGGACCGACGGCGAATGGACCCGAGCGAATGGTTTCGAGCTTAAATCAAGCTAATTGAACTAAGCCCGCGAGAACTAGAAAGGTTGGCAAAAGCCCATGCTATGACCGAAAGTTTGATGGACTTAGAAAATTCTTCCCCACGGTATGGTCAGATAAATGAAAGGAAAGAATAGCATGCAGGGCACGTATCGTCTTCACACATATCTTTGATTTATGGGCACAAGTGGATGAATGATGCAAAGAATAAAAGAAAATATTTGGCTGAGCTGGAGCTGTGCAGACCAAGGGAATAAAAGGAAGAGCAACTGGGAAAGAAATATTCACGTGCGGGCATATATTATTTGAGCAATATATCTTTCTCAAAACAAGAAAGAGTATACTGTCAAGGAGCTTCACGTGTCCATATGTGGAGGAAGAATGGGAAAGAACAAAATATAATATATTTTTAAGAGGAAAGAAGATTAACTACCTTTATTCTGAAGGCCTAAGTCGTCCCTGCATATAAAAGAAGACTTATTAGAGACAAGGGGGATGGGGGCTTTCTTTTGGGGATCTGATCACACACAAACACAGAGAGAAAACAAGAGAAAAAAGAGAGAAGATGGGTGCCCGCGGCAAGCTCCTCCTGGTCACGCCTTACTCCCGCACCTCCGCCGCTTGACGCTGACATCAGCCAGTCGTGAGCCTCATCGGTGATCCTTTGCTGCTTTGTGCTGTCCTTGCTCCACGACATTCGCTCCACCGTGGACGCCTGCACCCAACCGAGACGCTCCCATCCCGAAGCCCTGTTGACGACCAGCTGCTCCAATCCGACGATTCCCTTCACTGTTGCTGCTGTTCATGAGTCGTCTAAATCGTGGAGATCCCCGCTGCACTTCCAGGCCACGACGTAGCTTTGCATTGTTACGGAGCAGCAAACCCAGCGAGTCACCGCGGCTGCCGGACCTTCTTTTCACGATCTTGGAATTTTCTTTTATTGCAGGATGGTTTGGGTCTTGCTGGGTGTCCAATAAATTTTCTTGCAGCACCGTGAGCAACACTCATCACGGTTCCCCCCGACTTGCCACCGAAAGAAGTCCACGCTGCAAGATTTTCCTTTCTTGGCCGAGAACCACCGAACCAGTAAGCTTCACACCGCCAGGCCACGCAGACAACAACGTCGAAGAAAAAGTCAAAGAGGGAGCCAAGTGGTGGAAGTTGATTGAAGGACTTTGACTACAGTTCAAAAGAAGAGCACGTTCTATGCACTAAAGGAAGATTCCAAAAGGGCACATCTCCACTACAAAGCCATCCCCCCAGCTTGCGGCCAGTCTTGCACGACGCTGTTGTTCCTGCTGTCTCGAGCGCCCACGCCATTGTCGCCGTCCCGACGTGAGCCGCGGACTATCCCGCCGTTGACGTCGCCGCTCCTCGTAGCGACACCGCTATCGCCGCTGGTCCGCTGCCGTCGGCCACCATACGTCCCGCAGTCCCGATCCGCCGGTGATTCAAATTTGGAAATATCCACAAATTAGGTAAGATTCTCATCTATATTCTTAGAATATTCAATTTCCTAATCTTTCGGGTGTTTGAATATTTCGTGAATATTGTGTGATTGATTAGATACCTTAGGATAATATTTGCGACATCCGCAATATTCGAAAATACCCAAAATTAGGAATCATTCCTAATTTGGCAACGTATCTAGACGACTATCCGATCTTATCCCTAAGGTATGATACGCGGCGATATGGAAAATCGTTATCTTATCCATAATCATTCGGATACGATAATAGATTTTATTTGCTTTCTAAATTTAAACAATCAACTTTCTGTCGATATCTATAACTCTATAGATATGACCCTTAGTTTGATTTCTTTGCCTTATCTGAATTTGAAGAATCTTGCGGATTACGTGGATTGTTTGGATATGATTGTTATCTTCGTTTGATTGTTTTCCTTTTAAATAAAGAAAATAAAAAAAAACATGTTAGTTAGGATTCAAATTAGAAATTTTGCATGCTTAGCGAATCCTTAATATATCCAAAAGAATAAGATAATTATTTGATTTAAATTGGGATTTAGAGTAGCATATTTCCTAGTTTAAATTATAGATTGTTTTAATCTTAGTGGATTATTTAGGATATTTAATAATTTCGAATTTTAATAAAAATCCCAAAAAAAGAATCACTTTAGGATAGATCAAATCATTTTCTCTAGGATAGATTGCATGTTAATTTGAGTAATTTTTAATTCCGAATTTCACTTGAAAATACCAAAAATAAATCATTTGTCCGTCATTAGAATTAGGTCACGTCGTCGCATGACATATAGTTTGCATGTTAGGCTACATTAATCGCATGTTATTTTTGCACGTCATTGCATATAGGTTAGTTTGCATTTTAATAAAGCGCAAATCCTAAAGAACATCTTGAGTGCCTTGCTTTGTCAATTAGAAATCATATTAGGATTGTCTGTATGATTTTCTACTAACAATGCAGATGCTTGCATTGCATTAAGGTATGTCATTCTCCTAATCTTGCAATTTATTTATTGCTTTCTTGGGTGTTAAATTGGTGGTTTGCGCACCCGCATGAACACATCACATGTTAGTGATTAGGTAATAAAATGGATCCAAACTGCATGCATAAACATTTTTTGAAAAGAAAAGGTACCGAAAGGGCGTTAGATTAGATCTAGCGTAACCAAGTCCCCGAGCTTAGAATCTTTGATTCGTAAGAATAAAACATATCTCCCTATGTTTTATTTAGGTTTCTAATCGACCTACCACCAATAGATTAGTGGCGACTCCAAGCATGAAAACTTTTGCATGTTAAAAACTTAAACCCTAAGTTGCGAATTGGTAGGGCTTGGGAGGGCCCGAGTTAAGCTTAGACTTAACAATCCATTAGCCTGAGAAAATTTTAGGTCGCGACAAATTCCTATTTAGTCTCAGTAACTTTCAAGCGGATTAGCTATTTCTCATTTTAAATTTCCTAACGCACGCTCCATTTCACGTTCTCAGTTCTATATATAGTTCTGTTTTTTTTGGGTCAAATGTTCTATATATAGTTCAAGAAGAATGTTTTCGGACCAAAGCGGTAGGAATAGGATATGTAAATTGTTAATTAATCTAATCTAACCCCAATAAGAAGCACGTACTGTTGTTCCTCTATATAACCACATTTTGCTTTGAGGATAACCATGAAAGACATTGGTAGGTGTAACCAGTTTTTCCATCGAATTATCAAAAGCTACTTAACGATGTAGAAATTGTGAAGGCATTACCGGTCTCGTAACGTGCCAGGTAATAGCCAGAGATTAATGGGTAATTAACTGAAAGAAGATGACTAAACAAACAAGAAAAGGTTAATTTGTGCAGTTCAGCTGCTCTAATTCAGCTCCTCAGGGCGGAAGATTGAGCTCTCGGATGATTTCTTTATGAGATCGTAAATGTCACTGCTCAATCTGCAACGAAGATGAGAAAAAATGGTCATTCTTATTATAGTTACTGTACAATTACTTTGCAGTGAAAAAAATAAAAGTTCTTCCACTATCATAATCTAAGATATTCATAATAGTGTAGAGAAGATTTAATAAGCAAAACCCTTGTCACCTGTCTTTGCGCTTCTCCAAGAATCGCACCAAGGTTGCTCGGCGAGCTTGAGGCACAGCTGCATCACAAGTATTTCTACAGTAATTAGGTCCATTTCCTATAACGTAGTAAAACCAACTGCGATCGATTAATTTCGAGAACATACTGCCTCGTGGGTACATTGCACGGGGACGATGAATGTTGTCAGCAACTTCAAGATGTTGTCGTGCTCGGCTTGCGGACGATGTGGTCGGCTGGTCTTTTGCCATAGACATTATGAGCTCAGCCTGAATCGGAGTTATCACAAACATATTCAGCCGCCCAAAAAGATTTTTTTTTTAGAAATGAACAAAAAGAGAGGAAAATCTTTTAATAGATAGAATATAGCTCAGAGAGTGACCTTCTGGGGAGTGATATCACTGTACATATAAACACCATCTCCGTAAAAGATGGTGAGCTGTGCGGGTCTTTGTGACGACATTGCTTCACTCCTACATATGTGGATCAATCATTCGACATTCTTAGAATGTTATTTGCAATATCCCGATAGTAACTAAAGGTTTATAATTTAGACAGCCATTTTATATGATACTGTCCCAATCATTAGGAACAGTCGCGATCCCATGTAGCTACATACCTGATTTCAGGTGTCTGAGCTAGGGAGCCTTTGGCCAATACATCTGTGGTCTGAGTATGAGAAATGAAGGGCGGTTCCACAGATGAAATCCCACCAAGAGCTGGACCATGGACTTCTTTGGGAAAAGGGAACTTCAACGCTGCATCATGGTTTCCCTGCACAATCAAAAGAATGAAAGAAATTCAGAAGATGGGGCAACTTTCGTGGTCCCATTAGACCCTCACTTTTTCCTCGTTAGTTTGCAATACCCCCTTTCTCTTTACTCTTCTAGTAAATTCCAGGAATTCTATTCCGTATACGATGCATAGCTTGTTTAATGACAATCGGTGTAAACTAAACTCCATATACGCAGGCTAAGCGGATGAAACACATCCGTAAATGCGGATAGCAGCTAGTAGGAAAATTTAAGAAACCGATAGAATCACAAAGCGGCAAAACGTAATCACCAACCATTCATTAATTTAACATTAGAAGGGTTTCAAACATAGTGTAAAAGAGGAGGAAAAATGGGAAAGCAAACCTCGAGGAAAGGTGGGGGCTTGCGGTTGAAATCAAAGGCGTAAGGGTTGGATGTGGGCAAAAATAGGGGACGATCATGACCCACAAGCTGGAGTTGAGCTGCTTCAAGAGTCATTTGTTGGGGAGTCCGGTTTGTGACCTGTTTCCACCGTCTGGCTTGCTCCACTGTACATGATTTACCCAAAAAATCCAAAGTGAGACAAAAGGACAAATCCCATGTCATGAGTCTAACTAGAAAAGGAAATTTTTATTCTATTCGCAGTCGATATTTTGACATGACTGAAATCACTTTTCAGCAAGTTGTACTCCCATGTGCGAATATCTAGACCATATACGGAATGAAGTATCCATTTATGGCTTGAAGTATATAAAAACCCTTTGATCGGTAGATGGTACACGTGGCATGGCAAATGCGCTAATGTTAAAAGCATTCATATTCGTATAATAAATGCCTCTGTCCATTAGCTAGCCAAAGGTCCTAGTGAGGCCGTGGTGTCCCGAGATGCGAAATTATATATATCAGAATAAGCGTAGTAAGTTTGAAATTTCTGGTCTTCTTCGGTCTCGCAATAATATCAACTCAAACTTGAATTATTGCTAGCACGATTTGTAATAAACACCATTTTCACTCGGAACAAAAGTACAGTACCATATACAGAAAAAACCTAATCACACTCGCAAGAAGCAGAAGTAGTCACGCTTAAAAGAAACACGTGAACCAGTTAAGTGAACCAGCGGGATTTGAAGTTGGAGCTCCGAAAGCAACAGTGGAGGAAGTAACATCTGAGCATCAGTCACTACACTACATCGCATTATTACATAACACGTCTAATTGTACCTTGTAGATAGTTAATCCCTGGAATTCGCTGCTTGTGAAGTTATCATGCTCCATGTGATTCTATGGATCTTTTTACAGAAGCTACTTGCAGTAACATGTCGTGTGGAGAGAGAGAGAGAGCGCGCTAATTTAGTTTGGAACTATGAGCAACGAACGAACCTGATGGATCTTATGTTTTCTGTCGCCCCTGAGTTCACAAATTACAAATGCAACGACCATTTTCCGTCAACAACATATGGAATTCAAAGAGACGACAATTCTGGTCTCGACAAATTCAGCTTTTTCAGAAGTTAACAGGGGAGAGAATCAATAGTTTAATTAAGTAAAGCGAGACCAGAACCAGAGTTGGGAGCAATCAGTGGTAAGTAGGTACCTGAATTGATGCGTGACGCACTCTCTTTCTTCTTCTTCTTCCCAGCTCGTGGATTTTCCTGCCATTCCAACCCCAGAAAGTCCTCCATTACAGACACCCCCTCAAAACAGGCCCGACAGCAAAAGCAAGCAAAGATAAGAAGTTATATGAGGTTGGTGTTGTGGGTTGGTCGCCGTCGTCGCGTCGTAGGAGGAGGAGGAGGAGGAGGAGAGGCAGTGATATTTTTGCCGTGTTTGTGCAAGAAAATGTGTTAAAGCTTTTTGTTCCAAAAGCACGTGGTGATTGCTGACCGGTTAGTCCCGGTTGGGCTCCCTTGATGCGCAGCAGTTGGCGCGTGCACTTCATCTCCCCCCGATTCATCGAGTCAGAGAAGGAACTGCCGAGGACTTTCGGATCCACATTGTATAAACGTCATCAGCGGGTAATTGAGGATAAAGAAAAAAGGAAAATAACACAAACAGTCTTTGAACTTTAGTTCAATATGTAATTTGATCATTAAACTTTTAATTTATATAATGCAGTATCTGAACTTTAACTGAACGTGCAATATAATCCCTGAACTTTTAATTTGTTCAATGTTATCCTTAAATTTTTTGTACATGTTCAATTTAGTCAATGAACTATATAGAAATGTTCAATATAGTCATTCCATTAATTTAAGTTCAAGGATTACATTGGACCTGTACTAAAAGTTGAGGGATAACATTGAACAAATTAAAAGTTCAGGGATTACATTATATAAATTAAAAGTTCAAGGACTACATTGTACATTCAGTTAAAGTTCAGGGACGACATTGAATAAATTAAAAGTTCAGGGACCAAATTGCACATTAAGCCAAAGTTCAAGAACTGCTTGTGTCATTATCCCAAGAACCAAAATAGAATGGTAACGATATAGTCGCCCACCATCATCATGGCAGTTGATAAGTCGTCAATCGGCCGAGTGTTGACACCCTCGGTGGTCGCCGTACTGTTTTGGCCCTGCCAATGAGTCGATATAGGTTAGGTTTTGGTTCTTAATTTTGTTGCTCTCAAAAAGAGTATATGAAATGTAACGAAATCTATCAAATCTCTTAGAGTGCGCATGCAACCATTCCGTGCTAGGAAGCATTCACAGTTAGAAATGATTCTTTTTATTCGTGCGGAGCGAACCGATTCCCGAGCATTTGAAGGCGTTTGGTAACGGCACAAAATTCTGTGCCCGAGAACAGAAATGCGTTTGGTAACGGCATAAAATTTCTTTTTATTAATAATATTTTAATAACATTTTAAATATTTTAATATTTCTTTCTTTTCTTTTTGTCTTCTCCTCCTTTTTGGCCATGGCCGGTAAAATATTTTTTTATTTTTTTTGGCCATGGCAGGTAAAAATTTTTCTTATAAATAATTTTTTTATTAATAATTTTAAAAAAAAATATTTTACTAAAAAAATATTTTTTTCTTTTTTTTTCGCCATGGCCCGGTCGTTGGCCATGGCCGGTAAAATATTTTTTTTATAAATATTTTTTTATTAATAATATTTTAATAAAAAATATTTTTATTGAAATTATTTTTTTTATTTTTTTTTGCCATGGCTTGGTCGCTGGCCATGGCCGGTAAAATATTTTTTTATAAATATTTTTTTTATTAATAATATTTTAATAAAAATATTTTTTTTATTTTTTTCGCCATGGCCTAGTCACTGGCCATGGCCGGTAAAATTTTTTTTATTAATAATATATTTTTTATTTTTTTCGCCATGGCAGGTAAATTTTTTTTTATTAATAATGTTTTTTATATATTTTTCGCCATGGCCTGGTCGCTGGCCATGGCCGGTAAATTTTTTTATTAATAATATTTTTTATTAAAATATTTTAATCTCAAAGATACTGAGCGGGTGGCCCTCATGCCGGACATTAGAAGCTACATTAAAAACCAAGAAAAAGAAGAAGAAAAAAATTGATTCTCATTTTTGTTCTCGAATCAAGAAGTACTTTTTTTTATTCTTGATTCTCGTTTCAAAATCGATTACCGGCACAAATTTGCAAGAATTTGTGCCAATCAAAAAATTAAACAAACGGTTTTGTTCCCAAACCGATTCCAACAAAAGAACGAATCAAACACTATTTGGCAAGTTGTCATGCGCAGCCTTAAAGTATTTTATTTACCCCGTCCTATTGGGTTTGTTATTTGAGTGACCAAATCATATATGATGGAACTTTTAGATTAGGAACATGATGGTTTATGACAGCATTGTTCACTTGAAAATTCGAGGATTAAGTTGCTCAACCACTCATTCCTTTTGGAATCGTGTCTCACGATCTCAATACATAGAGTGACATATAAACATACTTGGATCAAACTTCATGATAGCATTCCCTAGCTCATGAATTGCTGTTGTCGATGAGAAATTATTATATATGAGTCTGATATGTATGTTAAATTTAATTTGGGCCAATAAAATTGAGTGGCCTCACATGGATTTTACATGAATCCTACCATGTCCGATCTCAGACTTGACGATCCCGATTGAGTTTAATGTATATAGGCATAATGGGATATTTGCTCGCGGCTGATGGATGCCGCGTTCATTTCTCTTTCTTTTACTGTTTTCTGATGGACATCTCTGGAATCATCTTTCTATCACGTGATGATTATGCTCGTTTGTGGAATCGGTCAGTCCATTTATTTAATTTCCCACAAAGTGGACTTGTCGGTCTACACCAACTTTTCCAAACTTATAAAGGAATAGGTGGCCCATTCGTCCATTATTTAGTTTACATCTTCCACTTCTATGTGGGGCTGAAAAAACATATGCTTCGATCTCCATTATTGTGGAGCACATAATTCCCGAAATAAATACGCTAAGGTTGCATTTAGTTGTCCATATTTGGATTGGGCTAGGATGGAATAAAAAGGAATTTGAAATCTTTCAGATATCCTTCGGATTGTAAAAATATCTAATTATATGTTGGGTGCAAACTAACATCTGAAATCTTTGAAAATCGGCAACCTAAGATAAGATTGAAAATCTTACTACTGTAATTAGCAAGCAGTCTTTGGGGAATCGACTCGGTAGCATGACGACTTTCAACGGGCACGACCTCACAGAGTTCTGGTATGACCTCGTGAACAGCGGGATGCACTTCCTATGGGTCGTGCGGCCGGACTCCATCACCAAAGCAAGCGGCGACACCATCTCGGAGGAGCTACGGAAGGGGATGCATCATGGGGTGGGCCTATAGGAGGAGGTCCTGTACCATGACGCCGTTGCCGGCGATCGTAATGTACAAGTGGAACTCGACACTTGAGAGAGGCTTCGCCAAGAAGCCGATGGTGTGCTGACTTTCACTGACCAACAGGTGAATAGCTGGCTCTTAAGTCATGTGTGAAAGGTTAGGGTCGACATGAAGGATGGGTGCGATAGGGAGGCGGTGGAAAGGATGATTTGTGCAAACCTTGCACGACGATCGTCTATAGACTCCCTTTTACCCTCACTTGTTTATACATGATTATCGATCGACAATGGCAATCGGCATGGTCGGAGGCAATGGCATTCGTGCGGTGGTCGAAAGTGACATGATCGGCTATCTTGGTGATAGTCCTCATGTGGTGGCCGGTAAAGCAACATTTGAATGCGGCATTACAAGATAACAGGAATTGTTGAGTTGATAAATTTTTTTATCTAATCCGGGTTTATCCAACCTCCTTGCCGAATTTCTTATTCGAATGTATATGGGTTTATCCGGTCCGGAGAATGTCACTAAATATTGAGTAGGATAATTTGTTATGCTATCCGGACTCAAATCCGGACTATCAAAGGCACCCTAAGGATGTTACTCAATTACTATCGAAATATTAAAGTATTTAATTCATCATATTGAAAGTTTAAAAGTTCGATTGATGAATGATCATAATATTAAGCACCGATTCGATGCTTATTCCCTAAAACCGCACAAATATATACAAAGAAATTACCAAAAAAGTCATAAGCCGATTGCACTTGTGCTGGTTCAGTCCTAAACCTTTCAATTTGGCAAATTTAGTCCTAAACCTCATAATAATTTTCCAATTGAGTCTTAAACTTTCAAGTGTTGCAATTTAGTCCTAAACCTTATGATAATTTGCCAATTGAGTCTTAAACTTTCAAGTATTGCAATTTAGTCATAAACATTTTGATGATTTGCCCATTAAGTCCTAAATCTTTTGATGATTTGCCAATTTAGTTCTAAACATTTTGACGGTTTGCCAATTTAGTCATTCCGGCTAATTTTTGCAAGAAATCATTGATGTGACGGTCTAGTCCGCGTTGACCGTATTATGTGGCACAACTGGCACTAACATGAATAATTTTTTATGAATATTTTTTATTTTATTTTTTTCCAACCCTAGGTGAGGGCGTTATGGCCCTCGTCGGCTGCGGCCGAAGTGACCCTCGTCGAGAATTGGTGAGTGCAAGGGCAGGCCAGGCGAGGGTTGGCCGGGTAGAATAGGAAAAAAAGAAGAAAATAAAAAAGGAAAGAATAAAAAAAAATCCGGAAAATAAAAAATAAAAAATTGTAAAAATTATCTACTTTAGTGTCGGGCACAGCACGTAGGACGCTTGACACTAATTAGATCACAACGTTAGAGATTTTAGGCCAAAATTGACAAGAATTGTTAAATTGGCGCAATTAAAAAGTTTATGACTCAGTTGGCAAATCGTCAAAAGGTTTATGACTAAATTATCAAAATTGAAAGGTTTAGGACTAAATTGGCACGAGTGTAATAGGTTTATGAATTTTTTGATAATTTTCCCGAAATATATAAATGAGTGTTGACGAAGATCGATATGCGTCGAGGTGATTCGACTTCAAATGATTGGAGAGCTACTGTGATTGTTTCACGATTTCGCAGTAGACCCCAACTTCCTTTTATATTTACTTAGGCTCCACTTGTTTCGTGGAAAATATTTTATGGAAAAACATTTTCCTCATTTTTCGGCGATTGGCTCGTTTAGGAAAATGAGTCAACGAAAAACCTATACTTAAATTCAAGAAAATGATTTTCACTTTAATAAATCGACAATCAATTTTCAAAATATGACTATATATCAGCGCTTGAGCCCGAAACTGTACACTTTGGCATGAAACCCCTATGCTAGTTCCTAGGTCCCTGGTGCCTGGGCCCGGGTCTATCGAGGATGAGCCTATGACCCTGGTGCCCGTGCCCGGATCACTGGCAAACTTGCTCGGGGCCATAGAGGCAAAGCCCGAGACCTCGATGCCTGA